GGAAATTTAAGGTGCTCTATATATGCAACGAACCCTGTTTCGTAGCTTCTTAGTAGTTTACTGTGACCCATCAGGAGTCCTTCGTTTTATTTAGCACTACATTTTCCAGTCTAGACACCTTTAGGGTGTTTAGAAAGTATATAAGCCGTCCATCTTCTCTGTTATCACTTCGGTCTCATTTAAACTCTGTGCACATTTCGACACTTATCTCTTCATGAGGTATATTAAAATGACACCAAGGCTCTGTGGTCATTATCGTAGGAGGTCTGAAAAGTAGTGATATGCCTCTTAGTACTGGCAATTCACCTAAAACAGAACTGGCACTGATATGGGTGATGCAAAGATGGGAGTAATAAAGGTGATCAACCCACTTCAAACTGTCGAAAAGGTTAGAGTCTATCTCTGCATCCATTAAGTGAGTACGGCATCGTGATACTGTACAACGGAAGTGGATGACATCGGTTTTAGTAGCCAGAGAGGAAGATGATTTCAGAGGGAAACAGGGCAAGTCGAGTGAGTTATCAAGTTTATTGCGAAAGTTTGAAGAGTGTGAAGGAGAAAGATGTGTTGTAAGGCGAGCTGCGTCAGTTGACAAGGAGGTTGAATAAATTGTGTCTTCTGATCTATACCCTAGCAGATTAGTATAGTGGGGTTGAGTTACACTTGTACAGTTACTATCAGTGGTTAATATATTGTCCTGTGATACATTGTCAGCTATTATAGTTGCAGATAATGCATGGGAGGTGGATGTAGCTGAGGAAATGCATTGTCAAGTGATGAATTAATAATTGACCTATTATTAAGGTTGGGTGGGGTTGTGGCGTCATATTAGTGTTTCGACTGGCGTAGTGGTAATCTCATGTAGCCTCACAGTTTCCGCGTCTTAGTCTTCAGCTGTTATCCTGCCCATCAGTATTGGGTCTCAAAAGAATCACAGAGAGACTGGTTTACCACGAACGGCTGATTATCAAGCTGCAGGTTATAATCATCAGTCATAGGTGGTTAAGAGAAGTAAGGTGTGAGTTGAAGATTGCTTAAATTATGAGATTTACTAAGTGCAACGACGAATGGCGAAGGATATGTGTATGGGGAGTTGTCTCCTACGAAACAGTTCGCCACATCATACATTTCCCAACTCACTACTCCTCACAAAAACTCGGTAAAACATTGGAAACAAGTGATTCGATAAACATGATAATGTAACAAGATTAGGAAGACATTAAAATTATGTGGAAGGAATCAACATAAAACATCAAAGTAAGATACACATACGTTATTAGAGAGTGAGTCCAAAACGTTCAACTTTTCTCCTACACATCGATAGCAGAAGAGGCAATAAAGCTGAAGTACGACAGGCCAGTTCAGAATTTGATTCGTGTCCGCTATCGTCTACAGCCACTTAGTTTTATGATACTCTTGAACTCATTCAAGGAGGCAATAGGGACCTATAAAAACTTAATCAGCACGAATACACGTAATTTTATAATGCCACATCATACACTTCCCAACTCACTACTCCTCACTACCAGACGCAAAACAAACAACAATGAAACAATGAAGTGTAGGAAGGTGGCTGGTATGAAATTACTCACGATTGTCTACGCCACCTATGCTGGTAATTCAAGGTTATCTTGCTTACAAAGTGATACCACCCACAGCGCGCAAACTCACCATCTCACCTTAAAAAACACCTACATGGTGTTCTAACTAGATGCTGATAATTCTACAGAGTGGTTGCACATTCTCGGTTCAAATAATTCAGCTTTCTAAGAATTAACGTGGAAGGGCTTGCACTAACGCATTGTATGCCTTGACGTTTACAAGAAAGTTATTATAGAAATGGGGTCAAAGATGCTTCGGACTGTCGTGTGTCACTCTGCCTTTCAACAGATTGTTGAAAATGCAACCGTTCATCAATTTGTAATTACTTATGCAAGCAGCCAGATACAAGAGCTTTTAGACAAGTCCCAGTGATTGACCGCCTAGACTGAGTGCAGATGCAGGCTTCCGTCCACCTGATTGCTTAAGATATGACTGTAGTCCTCACCTTGTGTGAGACATGTTTACATCTCTCTTTCAAGATGCCAACAAATATCTTGGGTGGATTCCCTTCTACTGCAGAAGTTAGTTTCAGGTCACAGTCCTGTTTGGAGAATCAAAGTCAGACCTAATTTCTGGTAATGTGACGACTGCTGACCGGTAATTTAAGCAATGATTTATATCAGAAACAGAGAATGGAAGTCACTCAGTGGTTTTAGAACAGCTAAATCAAATACATCAGTGACGGACAGCACTTTGGAAACACCTGTTTAGCCACAAAAAGTGGTGAAGATTTGGAGAAATTTCAATCAGTGACAAAGAAATAAGTGAAATAGGGATACAGATGGAAGTAAATTTTCGAAGTGCGAAAATGCGGAATTGTTCTGATGTAAAATAAGCAAGTAAAGAATAGAGACTGGAATGGCTGATAGTAATTCGGATGACACACAGACTTGATTGTTTGTAGTAACGTGCGAAGGGTTCATTGCATTTTCACTGATCGTACTACCTCACATTTTGTATTTCAAATATACTAATAACTGGAAGCTGAAAATAAGGCAGGCAGTTGTCTGGGGTGACGAATATTCTGATACTAAAGTCAAAGCAGAAGGACAACGTACTGTGTTCACATGGATGCCAAGTTATTTTCGTAAGGCATTCTTCATTTCTGCAACCTGGGGACCATGCTCACTAGAGGCTTGGGATCAGGACGTTTCAACTATTTTCGACACTTCATGTCCGCTAGTGTGACAGATGGATTTATATTCATAATTCTTGATAGTCAGAGAATCAAATTTTCTTGACAAATGTTTCGGTCTAACATGCTACTCACCAACAATACACATAAATGACCCAAACTGGATTTGAACTGAAGACCTTCAGACATCAAGACGAACGCGTCAAACATTCATCCACTGCGTCGGATTTCAAAGCATTGTTGAACTATTGCCCTATGAATAAAAAGGAATGTCCACATTAACCTCAAACACATAACTAAATAGTGCTCACCAGCAACATATCGGGAGATGGATATCCCGAAGTTCTAATGAGAAGCTGTAACCTGTGATGTCAACCAGTCGCGTTTTAAGTAGACAGTAACTACAAACATTGGTGGCTAGTAGTGATTTATCACGAATGGATAGAAGTAAGAAAATGTGGATTAGTGAACTGTGTGTGGCTCAGTGGCTGGATAGCCAACGCGTCCTCCATGGGAACTAAAGGTCCTGATTTCGAAGGCTACACATGTCATTGGTGCATACTGCTAAGGAGTCCAATACTATGAGAAAATCGCTGTCCATTGCTTCGAGGTTTCCAGTGTTTCTCTAGCTCATATCAGTCTATATTGAATACTGACATGAAATCTGACTACTGAACAAATTACTAATCTTTTGTCGAAGCGAATATTGTTGGAATATCAACTGATATCTTCTTCCCTTCCTACTTGTGGATCATTGTATGCCCAAATCGTGACTAACAGATGTGATGGTCTTGGGCCCACTTCTACTCAGGTTCATAAGCACACACTGTTTGAAGGCCTCAGACTAAACCGAAACAGTCATCCAGTGTTCCCAGATTCCCCATTGGTCTCCAACTGGTCATGACAAGTCACTATCCACCTCCACACCCCATACTAGACGAAGTTGCAAATGGCTAGGGGAGTGTTCAGATTGACCGGATGAGAATCGGTTACCAGTTGATGAAGTCTCTAGCTGTTGTTCTGAGTGGTGTTGGGAGATGTAGACTGGCTAGTTAGGGTTGTCGAAACGAAAGGAATCAGTGGTTGAGGACTCTTGATGAAATAGCTGAAACTGGTCCTTACGACGTGGATGCAATCATACTTTGGTATCTTTTAAAGCTTGAATGTTTTGAATAATCTCCATTTTCAAATCCACTCTCCTCAAATACAGCTTCATCCACTTTGATGTCAGATTGTACTACGCTAGTTTCTCTGTATGCTACTGTAGAGTGTGACTAGGTGGACCGATGCACTTGTATGCGAAGTTCTAAGCTGACTTTGATTGTCTAGACTACCGTGTAAACGTCGGAAACGTTTTGTTCCTAATTACTTATATTGCAGATATGAACCATACAGAAGGAAAGCAATGCAGTTCAACTGTTTTCTGTCCAGCTGATTTGCAATCTTTTCTTATTTTAAATGAGTAGTTTCTTCAAAATGTGTTGACTGGTCGATTCCCACTTTAAAGCCGATCTAATCTCTTACATTTACTCCTATAAATACACGATGCTGGATTTACTTCTAAAAGAATGTTGTTCCGTCAAACAAATCTTTGATAATATAGAACAAGATGAGAACGTGCCTGTTGAAACTTAATATTTGACGTGATTTTGCATAACTGATACTTCAGCAACTACGATTCACCTAAGTCATCCTATTCTGTGGTAAGGTCAACAAGAACCAATGAAATGCGTATTCATTTGCCTGTATACGTGGAGTTTTACTGTACATCTTTTACCTTGTCCTTATATGTGATTAGTTGTATGCATTCGACTAAGCTTTATTTGGTGAAATATTATGTCTATGATACGAACACATTGAAGCTTTTCAGTAGATCATGCCGTTTACGCATGCTGATTATCACGGATTCTACTGAAAACGTACAGATTTATTCAATGAAACTCTCTGATAAGACAGTAAATGATATTCCTACCTTCCTTATACAGAGTGAAGAATTGTTCATTCACGTGACACAGATTCTCATTTCATTACATGAAAACATACAATTGACCGCTTTACAATCAATACAAACAACAAGCGTCAATCAGGTCCACTTCATTCACTTTTCTCAAAGTCAGTTACTAGCTCAGAAGACTATGCTAGTGTGAATGTCTGCCTTTCAAGATTCCAATTTGACATTTATTTAAGACTATATCAGCGTTTTTCACTTCAGTTCCTGATTGACTGACCTTACATGGTTGTCCTAATTTTTGAAAACAAAATGTTACTCAGTAAGAAGTGATCTTCAGATAAAGTTAACGGTAGCAAGACATTTTACATCTGTAAACAATTTTTATTATCTATTTCTAAGAGTAGTATGTGCGTTTTCAAAAATTTCAGATCAAAACACTATAGAGATTCAAAATAAGAATTTTCTCAGTTTATACGTTCACACACTGAAACATACAGAGAATAAATCCAGACCAATTTAAAAGTACATATAGACTAAATGTGGAGTAATACGTCCAAATGTTCGTTTACGCCGTTCTTTTTTATGCTCTCCTCAAATTTCTATACATATCTTAAAATTGGCCATCATCTCTTTACCACAATGAAGTTGTATGGGGAAATGAGAAGTTTGATACAAAAGCAAACAGCTGAGTTAACAATAATCTACAAGTTGAATGTTTTTATGTCTGTAGTGGATAATAATGTTGCATGATGTATGAAGTAGTGCAAATTGTTTTCTTGTTGTTCTGCTTTCATGAAACACGCAATCATGAAAAGTTCAACCAGACTTAAACAGAAGGAAAGCCACTTGTCCCAAATACATGTAGATAAAGTGTTTGGTTTCATGTGTCACATAACTGAAATATTGAAAAACAGTGGAGGAAAATGAACTCGATTAGTGCTGAAAGTATTTACAATCGATTTTTTAAAACATCATGCAGAATTGCTTGAAACATGCCAATCAATGATGAATATAATTACGAAGTTTTAAGTGATTAGTTAACACTGAGTGTAGGTTCAAAATTTGCTGCTGATTTCGTGAAGAGAGTACATGCTTGACTAATCTGGATAATTCCTTCATGATGTGGTTATACTTCATTTCCCAATCTGTTGTTTATTGTTCCATTCTCAGTCGCGATATATACTACGTGTATTTGACTCATGACAAGAAATTAATATTGATTGTTGACTTTTGCCACCAGACACTCACCAATGTACAGCTACGACCATGAGTTCATCGACAGGAAACTTGTCGGGTCTTTGCAATCATTCTTCCTGTTTACTTCTATGACGAAAAAGATTTGTTCCAATTTTCAGTGACCATAAATTACACAGCTAATTATCACACGCACTTCCATATCACCCAATTATGTGATGTTGTGAGAGTCAGCCCTCTAGCAACATCTGTGACTACAATCTGTAAGTGTAACTCAAACTCCATGGGACCAATGCTTGTGGTTCCAGTTGGAGTTACGGGCAACGCATATTGTTTCAGAGGCTCTGAACCTTATATCTCCTAATATTCGCTGATAAGATAAATGGCAATAGACTCTTGTCCTCTGAAATAATAACAAATGGCATTCGTTTTGGAAATGAAAAGGTACTGGAGGAACTATTCTATGGTCATCCGTATCCACTTGTTGCTGGATAGCGTTCGTGCTACTCAGAGTGTGTCCGTCACCAAGCATGTCTCCAAATTACTCAAGCGCAGCAGTTGAGCTGAGGACTAGGTCGTGTCTGAGAAGTGTGCAGCTCACTGGATTCGGTCAGGGAGTGATTACAAGGATTCCATGGGAATCCAGCGTCAGACGTGGTATTTTGAATTGAATGGTGGCTTCACAATCAAGAAGAAGTTAACTCCTAGTGCAACATCTCAGGATTTCGATGATATTTCTCCTGCTGCACAAGCTATTTTTTCTATTGAGACATTTATACACACAACTCAATCAACACCGTTTGAATACAGAATAAATTGTAGCTGGATGTGGCATGGTCAGGGAAGTTGTATCTTTACTCGTTTCTCATCTACCAACTGAATAGTTTGTTTCAAGTAGTACAATAAGCTCTGAGACGTGGTCAACAGAATGGGTTTTCTCATGCCAAAAGTCATGTGTTTGCAGAGGAAGTGTTGTTGAAACCCCAACCAATCGTTTAAGAAACCGAACAAACTTGATCATTCTCAGTTAGCGGAGCTGAAATGATCTATGAAATTAAAATAGCTGACGTCAACATATCACGGGTGACTATACTTTGAGTGAAAAATACTCAGGTCCTTTCATGAAAGTGATGGAGTGAAGTCAGCTGCCTTCATCCAAAATCTCTATTATTCATAATCTAGTCTATAAACCGCATTCATACTGATGTCTGAGTAGCACTGTCTATGATTGTGAACTATTACTCAACTTGCTTAGAGTCTAGCATGATGCAGGAAAGGGAATCCAGCTTAGGTGTGAAGGGGAGTCGGCACCTGTGACGTGTATTCTCATTGATTCGAACTTCAGAGTTTCAATTGTAACAGTAAGTGAAAGGCTGTAAGCTAGTTGAAACGGCTCACGTAATATACGCTTGATATCATGTAACATGGAAACAGTAGAATCAAGTTTTATTTGTCCGCCTATGTACTGAGTCGTTATTGAATAAATAACAGAATTGATAATGAGGCATTTAAGATAATGGGTTCGAACTATTACCAGTGTGTAAACATCAACTTATCAATTTCAATAAGTACTAAAATATCATAGAGAAAAAATCAGTCTGCATACCTTCCGAAATTTCTGCCAACAATACAGTGCCACGTGGGGTTGTACATTTTGTCGAATTCCTTTTTCACGTGAGCAGCTATGTCTTTCTCCACAGTATATTTCGCTAAGGCTTGTGTGCAGCAGTCAATAGCATGCTGTTGCATTTCTTCGCTCATATCAGCATTCTTTATAACAGCCTTAGTTTCACTCATTCTATCGATGTCTATCTTTCACGCTTAGCCGACGATTTCGTCTTGACACAACTTATTTCTATCTAGTTTTTCTAAATGCCAGGCTATTTATAGTGTGAGTTGAGTTCCAATATCTGACCTTAATGCGTGCAATCAGAGATAACATTAGTAGCATAGCTTCACTCTTTGCATCAATATTTATTCATTTAATAGTTTTTCTACACCCACACTGATACTATCATTCTTTATAGGTTACAATGTCTAAAACGTTGCACTTAGATACAAGATTACTTGGATAATGTTCAAGAAAATATGCTCACATAATTGTTTTCTAACTCACTCTCATTCGTACAAATACCCGCATGACCTACGTACACACACATACGTTTGCACATTGTTTCTGATTGGCTTATGCATTATGTCCAAATGTGACATTAAGTGTTGTGATCAAACATTCAGGACAAAATATCAAAGCTCAGAGAATACCAAACAACCTTCAAGTCAGACTACTTCACTTCATTTTAATTCTAGTAATTAATGTTGACTGAATAGATTGTTGGTTTGACAACAGCTTTTGTTTCAAGACTGTGGAGTGGAATTTTGTTAGTCAGGTCCCAGACAGCTATCAGAACACGTTTCCAATGGCTGCTGACACTGACACACATCGTTAATGTATCGGCTGTTGTGAATTTGTCCAGTAATCAATAGCGAACACTTTCCTTGTTGATATTGATTGCGAACCAGCGCATTGAATAGTCAACCAGTAACTCAAGTGATGAAGTCTATGTGGTAAAGTTAATTGGTATGAATGTGGCAAGTTGTAATATAGAGAGAAGCTGTAACCTTCTCCAGTTGTGTCCAGCATTACAAAGAGTGAGGTTGTGGTTCATTGGTTTGGGGAGTTGACTATCAATCAGTGGGTCGCTGCTTCAAACACTGCCCCACCTACCGAGGCTTGGCAGTTAGGCAGTATCATTCGGCCTCTAAGCATTAGATATGGCGCCTTGTGTACTGCGCAAATGTGCAGAAATATGCTGCTGAGTGTATGTTATGCGATATCCTGTTTGGTTACGGGTTTTATTTTGTATTACTATTTATATAAGTATTTATCTTCCTCTAGCTTCGTTTGTTTCACGAGTTATTTTACGTCGGTTACAGTGATTTCTATAACATGAATAAGTATAATGTTCTTGATATTTCTATCAGTGATTGAAGTGTAATTACCACTGAAACCTAAAATACATTATGTATTTGGTAGTTTGTGTTTGTATCTTCTATGCAGCGAAATAAGGTAATTTACTCGGCAACATTTTAGACACTTTGATGTCAATGTAGAAAATAAATTCCACCCGGCACATTGTTTTTGGTGAATGGTGTTTTTGATTTTGTTACCCCGATTAGATAACAGAAAGAATGATATAACATAGCAGTGCTTATATTTTACTTTTATTGAGTTAAAACCTCGTGAGTTATATGCATAGACTTTGCTAGTGGCGCATATCAGATACTGTCCTGCTGCAGATAACCATCTGCAAATAAGTAAATTTGTTGCCTTGCGGAATGTAGATAATAAGTTCTAAAGTCTGCAGTGATTTCACTGGCCTGTCCTTATTAACGATATGCATCAGAAAGTTCTCAGAATTGCATAAAAATCTCGACGTTCATCAGCATTTAATTTTTCAGTCAGCGAATTTTCCGCTAACGGGTATATCTGACATTTTTATAACTATAGAATGTTCGAACGTTGTACAAATGTTGTAATTTCTTTTCCCTAAGTAACTTTCAATATCGCCCTATATATTAGCTAAATTACCGATAAACCTTTTAAAACCAGCTATCTTATGAATGTATAAGTCTGAAAATATTGTTTTGAAATTTCACTGATCCATACTTTATTTCTTTTAACACTGCTACCATATTTTTGTTGATCAAAGATGAAAAACTTAGAGCATAGTTAAATATTAGTATGCAAGATAATAAAGCCTTAAAAGTAAATAATCAAAGGTTTTTAGCAGGTGACCGAGATATCATGAGTTGGATAGATACATTTTTAAGCAATGTTTATAATTCTGTGTGCACCATAACCAGTTTCATTCATTTGAAATATATGAGGCTCATATGGAATTTTTTTCTTGTTACACAATAAAGGAATTAAAAACAATAAATTCAAATACGTAGATAAGAGATTTTTATCTAAAGTTAGGATTTATTTCACACCAAGAGCATTGTAAGTCACTATGGTAACAATTCTATCTAGCGTCTAAAACTAAGGGCAGTATATAACATTTTTAATTGAAATCAATATACAGTGTAAATCTACCCACCACCTACCATTTCTTATCAATGTGCGACATTTTCTGTAGCCAGTAATGCCTGAAAGTAAAGATTTATTGTTCTAGTCTGGCTATCAGTTACTTTCATGCTAACATGGCTAATTCTTAACATTAAATGGAACAAAACGCCCTTTGTATGACCTTTAGAATTACTTATGATAAGTAGTTACTTGACATTTTATTAGAGTTTCAAATCGACCAATCTGAGAAAATATGTAGCTAAGATACTTTTGTAACTTTTTTTTATTATGTGACCTGAAAGCAAGTTGAGGGATACAGAATGCAGTATTTGAATAAGTCAACTACTTCGCTTACTATATAATTTATGCCTACTGATATCAGCTGGCTACTGAACAGGTTTTAATGCACCTACAAGAAGACCATTTGCTAAACGCCATTCAAAACTTCCGGCTGTTTATCAAAGAACAGCTGTGCTGCAAAGTGCTTGACTCTACGACTGATCAGAGTTGCCTGCTTGAACACTAGTCTATTGAATTTTCCATGTAATGTATCACATTAACTGACTCTTTTTTACATTATTTTAATCACTCAAATGCTTCTTCTGGGAGTATTATCTACTTTAACGCATTATTTAAACCTTTCAACATGCTACTTTGTATATTCAAAGTAAAATAAAGAAAAAGCGCTATGACGGATAGGACCGGTTTTCAGTTGCACATACAATATCTTATTGGGCATATATATATATATATATATATATATATATATATATCTGATTACTGACTAGTTAGCGCCCCTATTACTAAAGAAGTCCATTCATTTAAATCAGGCTAATGAGTCACAAACAGCGAAAAGTAAGCAGTCAGTAAACAATTATGATGTCTGATTGGTCACTACAACCAATAATCCTATAGGTGTTGTGCCACAGGTTTGAATACAGTTCCACCTACCAAGGTTTGTGCAACCACGCAGAACCATTAGCCCTTACACAATAGGTGCGGCTCACTGTTTACTGTACGAATGTGCGCAAGGTTGCTGAAAAGATTTCGATTTCGATTCAGATCCTCTACGCTCTTAGGTCTTAATTATGAGTTTTTCATACTGTAGAACTGAACTAATTATTCACTTTTGTGCAACGAATACTTTTCAGTTCCATCCCTTAACCACCTATGAAGTTTTAAGTCTTTTAACATAGCAGAATGATACATTTTGAGTGAGAGTTGTTATTGTTAGGCTGAATTTAACTACTTGCTTTACTATTCAGTAGACAACTTTGTTAGCGTGATTTATGCGCATGAACGAAACCTTTTTTCACAATCAGATGATACCATATCGCTCAAAAGTATGTCCGTCAGGCTCATGAAACCTAAGTAGTTAAACTAATAATTAATTGTGAAATTTTTGACATAATTACATGAAGTGTAACAAGATGTAGGGTAGTTTTTCAAATATCAGAAGAATCGTGAGAACTAGGTTACATGTGCGACGCTAGAATAGTTAAATTCAATAAAACTAGAAATAAGATTTATACCACAAGTCGAAAAATGTTTTCGAGTAAGTGACATATCGTTTGATATAAGAAGTAGTAGTTACGTGACTATGTAAAACAATCAAGGCACAATAAATGATGAAGGATTTAGAAGAATTACCTTAGTAAGGGACATAGTAATAATATAAAGCTGCTAAGTGACACTAGTTAAGAGGCTCTCAATTCGTAGTCTGCTTGTTGGCTGAAAATGGAATCCAGCACGCACGTTTCGTCGCAATTAAAACTGTTTGGCTAAATTCACTCATATCCTAGTGTTACCGCTGAGACTCAAATTCAGTACTCATCAATTCAAACGCCAGGATGTAATCCACTAGGCTACCGGCGTGCAGAATAGACTTCTTTCGCAAAGAGTGTCAGATGATTTTTCATACTTGGTATCTCCTATCGTGATGTGCACTGAGTTCGAGTCCAAGTGGGAACAGAATCATTCACTGGGGTGCACGTACATCCAGATGACGAGTGCCAAACAGGACAAAACGCGCGTTCTGGATTCTACTGCTATTCACTATGCAGACTACAATATAATGAATACTCATGCAGTATCGAGACATCTGTATAGGAGCTTCTCTGCCTTCAAACGTTGAGCACTTCGGCCTAATATAATAACGGGAGATTACGAGTATGAAACATCATTTCAGATCGTTCATGCTTTGCAAGATGTAAGAGGCAACTTTTTTGGGTAAAGATATCATCAGCCACTAGAACAGTAGTTTCGGACACAATTCAAGTTGAATCATCCGACCAGGTGTTTCCAGCGAATCAAAAGTAGTTTTGAAAATATTTAGCTTTTCATGACTATGAACAATGTCTTTGTATCTACCCAGTGCCCTGTGTCAGTCATTTGATGCTATTTAGTACTGTTAAATGAGGCCAAGTCAATGTACAGTAGGTCGTTAAGCACATGTTCAACGATTCTGGTAGACAACCATCTATGTTTTATTCTTTGTTGTATAATTAACTTCCCCATGTCTTGGTTATGTTGCGTCTTCTGATTAGATGGTTTATTTGTGAAGTTTTCATTGTCTTTCTAGACAAAATTATTAACAAATGCTTCATTATGAAATGAGCTATCAGAATGTTTCTGTTCATGGTTCAGTAAGAAGCCTATCCTTGATAGATTCTTATGACTGTTGCATCATTGGCTGCACAGACTTTCTTATTAGCTAAATCTGTATCTAAACTCTGAATTTGTAGTTTTTTCCACATCATTTTTCCCACTGGTTGATGGGGTTGGGCCAATGCAGCCACTGATTGCTGATTGACCTGAGTGTCAAACCTGCAGGAATCTTTTGGTCTTCCTCGTGCTTTCTTTGTCCAAGCTCAGTATATCTTCAGATTCAAGTTCTT